AGCAGGTGGATGCTGAAAAAACTGAGTAGACATTAGTTACTGCACACAGTAGGTCTGACCATTTCACAGCTTGAGCCCAGGGAAGTTAACTTTTTTATTAGAACAACAACAACAAAGTCCTCAGAAAAACAAAACAGATTTCAAAGTACTGCAACATAGTATCTACGGTGTTAAGTTTTCAGCCAAAACTTACTAGACATACAAAGAAATGGAGCCCTGCAATCCATATACAAGATAAAAAGCAGTTCATTGACACTTAACTTCAAGTGGGCCCAGGTAATAGATTTAGCAAATAGACTTAAAAGCAGCTATTATAAATTCTAAGAAATGAAGGAAAGCATAATATTAGTGAATAAAGCATTCCAAAAAAAAATGGAAACTATATTTTTAAAAGAAAACATAAATTCAAAAGTTGAAAAGTACAGTAACTGAAATGAAAATTTTATAGGTAGGGTTAGCAGAAATTGAGATAGTAGAAGAAAGAATCGAGTTGAAGACAGATCCATAGAAATTACTCAGTTTGAAGAAAAGAGAGAGAAAAGACTGGAAAAAAATGCACAGTATCTCAGTATAAAACAAAGTCAATTCAACATGGAGTTGGAGTCCTAAAGAGTGAGAAAAGCAAAAAAGCATTTAAAGAAATAATGGCCAGGAACTTCCCAAATTTGGCGGAAAACATTAATTTACAGATCCAAAAAGCCTAAAGAACCCCAACTAGGATTAAAACTAAACTACACCGAGATTCATTATAGTCAAACTGCTAAAAGATACAGATAAAAATATCTTGAAAGCGACAAGAAAAGAATGATATACACAGGGGAACTAATGTTTGTTTAACAAGAGTGTAAGGTACAAAATAAATACACAGAAATAAATTGTATTTCTTTATACTGGCAGTTCGATACAGTATCAATTACAATACCAATTACATTCACTCAAATGAACTACTCAGCTGAGTCTAACAAAACATGTACAGGACTTACATGCTGAAAAAGATAAAATGCTGTTGAAAGAAATCAAGTATCTAAATAGAGAGGCTGGACACCTGGGTGGCTCAGTGGTTGAGCATCTGCCTTCTGCTCAGGGTGTGATCCCGGAGTCCCAGAATCAAGTCCCACATTGGGTTCTCTGCATGGAGCCTGCTTCTCCCTCTGCCTATGTCTATCTCTGTGTCTCTCATGAATAAATAAATAAAATCTTTATAAATAAACAAATAGGCATAACCTGTTTATAGATTGGAAGGCTCAAAATAGTAGAGATGTTAATTCTCTCCACATTGATACACAGGTTTAACATATACCAACAAGATTTTTTGTAGATCTACACAAAATTGTTCTAATATATGGAAAGGCAAAAGTACTAGAATAACTAAAAAAAATTTGGAAAAAGAACAAGATGGAAAGAATCAGTCTGATTTCAGAACTTACTGTACAGCTATACTAATCAAGACTGTGATATTGGCAGAGATATAGACATATCAGTGGAACAGAGTTGAGAACTCAGACCAACATAAGTATGCCCAACTAATTTTTTACAAGGATACAAGAGCATTTCAATGGAGAAAATATAGCTTCTTCAGCAAATGATGCTGGAGCAATTGAACATCCATAGGTTTCTTTTAAAACAAGTAATATAAATCTCACATACAAAAATTAAACCGTAAAACTATAACTTAGGAGAAAAAAAACATAGGGATCTAGGGCTAGGCAGAGTTTGTGACACCAAAAGCATACTTTATAAAAGGAAACATTGGTAAATTGGACTTCATCCATACTAAAAACTTTTGCTCTGGGAAAGACTGTGCTCAGAGGATAAAAAGACAAATTACAGACTGAGAGAAAATATTTGCAAACTACATATCTGGAAAAAAAAAACCCTAAAGTATATAAAGAACTTTCAAAATACAGAGTTAAAAAAAAGTCCAGTTAGAAAATGGGCAAAAGACATACAGATACTTCATTATAGAGCATATACAGATGGCAATTGAGTACATGAAAAGATGTTTTAACATCATAAGCCATTACAGAAATGCAATTAAAACCACAAGATAACCAATATACACATACTAGAATGGCTAAAATAAATAGATGACACCAAATTCTAATAAGGATGCAGAAAAACTGGATCACGCATACAGTGCTGGTTAAAATGTAGTAATAGTAATTCTGGATCAGATTTAGCAGTTTCTTTAAAAATTAAACCTGCAGCTACCACACAATCCAGTGAATTGCATTCCTGGGCATTTATCCCAGAGAAATGAGGACTTATGTTCACACAAAACTTGTACATTAATGTTTATAGCAGTTTTACTTATAGTAGCCAAAAATGGAAATAAGCCAGATATCCTTTAATGAATGAATGGTTAAACAAAATGTGGCACATCCATACCACGAATACTACTGAGTAACAAAAAGGAATGAACTATCAATAAAAGCAGCCTGGATGACTCCAGGAAATTATGCTGAGCAAAAAAAGCCAATCCATAAAGGCTGTATACTATATGATTCTATTTATGTAACATTTTTGAAGGGGCAAATTAGAAACGGAAAACAGATTTGTGGTTGCTGGGTGTTTAAAGAAGAGTTGGAGGTGAAGGGGGGAAATGGGCTCCACAAGGGCAACGTGAGGGATTCTTGTAGTGATGGAAACTTTCTTTATCTTGACTCTACCAGAGTCAATACCCTGGTTGTAAAACATACTATAAATTTACAAATATTTCCACTGGGGAAAGCTAGGTCTAGGGTACCTGAGATCTCTCTATTTTTTTTTTAAATAACCACATGTGAATTTACAGTGATCTCAAAATATTTAATTAAAAAAGAAGAGTAATATCTGAATACCTACTTTTCTGGTTTCTGTGAGAAAACAATAGAATGGCATGGTTAAACCACAGTAGACCTTTTCAAGCCTCTTGACTTGCTACCACCAAACCTCAGCCAGGTGCATGTATTTTTCCTGACTGTGGGGTTTTTTAATGGCATTCAGCTAATAATGAATAGATAATTTCTCAATCTGGACTACCCTTATTATAAAGAGGCAATAGGGACGATGATCACAGTAGGTGGAGGTAGTGATGATAGTGACAAAAAGTTCAATATAAAAGTTACCAACTTCTCTAGTACCTCATACTATTTTTTTCCTTTTTTTTTTTTTTGCCATATCTCAGGAAGTTTGATATTGTTACTGTTTCTTTTAAAAATAGATATTAATTTTCATCTGCAACTTCTTCAATAAGAACAAAATTGATTCCGAGTTCAGTGATGAAATTAAAAGTGAAAGTCAGTTGTTTAAAACAAGGTTATGCTTGCTGTGTGGATAACCTTCACTTCGAGTGGATTATGCCTTGCTGCCAGTTATGGGGCCATGATACAGTGTCAGTCACCTTTTTATAGTCAACCAGTTCCACTCCACAGCTGGTCATTGCGTTTGTTGTACTGTAGACATTAAAACTAAAGATAATAGAAATGGGTCTCTGTTCTCTCTCTCCCCTGTGCCTCTCCTTTAATCCAGCAGGGTAAACTGAAGTGAACCTTTAAGCAAGTGAGATAGAACCTTTTCCTTTTCATACACATGTTCTAGCTTTTCTACCTATGAAGATGGGAAAACTAAGGGTTATGAGTCTTGCCAAGTCAGAATCTCCCCAGGCCTGAGCCTCTTCTTAGTTGTTAATTACATTTCCAACAATGCTGAGTTACAATGAATGTATGTAATTAAAGAAAAAGACAGCTAAAACTTAGAGCTCTATTTCATTCACTCAGTATCCAGGCAAAAGTCATTTGGAGGAGGAAACAGTTAAATCAGCATGGCCCAATACACCTAATATTTTTATTATTTATATCATTTTAACCTGTGGCTTAAAGAATCAGCCTACAAAAATACTATTTGGTACCATTGGTATTATTTTACATTGGTTCAAACAGTAAATATTAATGCAGCCTCTTCCTCCTTGCCACTTATCTCTCATGTCACCCAAAAATCTCTATCTTCAGTTCAGTTTTTCTTTAGTTCTACTTCTCTGTTACACTTCACGTGCTTTATTTTAGGCTGGTAGGCCGTGGCCCACTACACCCTTGAAGTAACCATTTATTATGTACAAGAAATCTTTCTTTTCCTTGCAAGGCCCTGTTCTTTTATTATTATTATTATTATTATTATTATTATTATTATTATTTTAGATTTTATTTATTTATTCATGAGAGACATAGGCAGAGACATAGGCAGAGGGAGAAGCAGGCTAGGGACCCTGATGCAGAACTCGATCCCAGGACTCCGGGATCATGCCCTGAGCCAAAGGCAGATGCTCAACCACTGAGCCACTCAGATGCCCCCTCAAGGACCTTGTTCTTAACACCAGTGTGGTAAGCTGGAACATGCCAGCAACTGCTACTGAGGCAGTGAGGCCTCCATACACTGAAAGGACAAGAAGAAGTAATAGTAAGTTTCTTATTGGCTTATTCAATAGTTGGTGGGGGGAAGGGATAGCGTTAGAGAATGATGTTTTAGAAGAGACTAAGTGCATGTGATTTTGCTGGATTTACTTTTTGTTCTTCTGTCTGCTTTTGCAAAGGAAAGAAAACATTTCTTAGTTCCTATCTGAACCTGGTCCTTTAGGTGTGTTAACTATTTTGTCCTTAAATAATGGTAATAGTTATTAAAATATACATAGTGCTTTGTAGTTGACAACATGATTTCTTATGATTACCCATCCAGAGATGAGTAAATAGAAACTCTGAAGTCTCACAGCTTCTCAGTTAGAGCCAATCTCCACATTTATTGTCTTCTCCAAATTCTGTGCTCCTTTGCCTAGGCCACGTTGCTGCTTGGGAGTGTGTAGTTTCCCCTCAGCTGTGAGTAGTGGAAAAGCAGGACTTCAGACTTTGCATTCTTTCCTGAACAGCTCAGCAAGAGAAAGGGGCAGTTATGAGACTAGAAGGTAGATGAGAACAGACTATGAGGGTCCAAGCTCCCTTCCTGAGGTTTTATCTTTTCTTTCATTTCAGGATGGCAATGACACGGAGAACTATGTTCCAGAAGGGGGAGGTGCATAACAAACCATCAGGATTCTGGGGAATGATAAAAAGTGTTACCACTTCAGCACCAGGAAGTGAAAGTATCCTTTATCCCTCTGTTTGATTCTTTTTTCTCAACTCTGGACCAAGGCCAGAAGAAAAAAAGTAGTATTGGGGTGGTCTCTCCTGAGGTACTTGACTGCATCAGAGTCCAGCTGGGCAGGGCTAGGCTTAGGAAATACAGAGTCATCTTTCCAGTACCCCTAAAAGATCATAAAACCATTGTCTTTGAGCTAAAGAAGTCCTAAAAGTCACTCTTTCCATTTTATAGGTAAGAAAATAGACCCAGAGAAATTAAGTCACCCTGTGGTTTGTGGCAAAGATAGGGCCTCCTCTTGGTTCTTTCCCCTACACTATTCTGTTTCTCAGGTGTGAACAAGCAGCATAAAACACAATGGCTAAACACACACACACACACACACACACACACACACATACAATGGCTCCCTAAAATGGATGGTTTGTATATGTATGGGATGGTGGTAGGGACCTGTTTTCTAAAGCAGTCAGTATTTCTAAACACATTTTAAGCAGCGCTGTATCTTCAGTGACTTTTGATTTAAAGAATCAAAGAGACTGGGTTAATGGACTAGTCCTGGCCCAGCTAGTTGCAGTGTTAAACTGATGCCTGGAAAAAAAAAAAATGATGCCTGAATAGAGTAACAAAATCTCTCTGTGACTACCAGGCTCTTTTTTTTTTTTTTTTTTTTTTTTAAGATTTTATTTATTTATTCATGAGAGAGAGAGAGGCAGAGACACAGGCAGAGGGAGAAGCAGGCTCCATGCAGGGAGCCCGACGTGGGACTTGATCCCGGGTCTCCAGGATCAGGCCCTGGGCTGAAGGTGGTGTTAAACCGCTGAGCCACCCGGGCTGCCCCTACCAGGCTCTTAAGTCAAAACTCTGGGGCATTGGGCGGGGGGAGGGGGTGGTGCTGGTGTAAGATAGCATATTCTTGCTTCTTTCTCTGGCCTGAGGAAGCACAAATTCCCTTTTGCTTCAACTGGAAGAAAAGGATATAATCTGCTCTTGCTATAAATTGTGGCATATCTTTCTGGTGTCAAAAGTAGATAAGAATTAGGCCAAAGAAAGACAGGATAACATGACTAGGAGAGAGAAAAAAAGGTTTACATTGAATGCATTTAATCCAGAAACATTTATTTCACGTCTCCTATTTCCAGGCAGAATCCTAAGGGATAAAATGATGAATAGAGGGCAGCCCGGCTGGCTCAGCGGTCTAGCTCCCCCTCCAGCCCAGGGCGTGACCCTGGAAACTGGGGATTGAGTCCCACATTGGGCTCCCTGCATGAAGCCTGCTTCTCCCTCTGCCTCTCTCTGCCTCTCTTTCTGTGTCTCTCATGAATAAATAAATAAAATCTTTTTTAAAAATATGATGAATAGAGTATACTCTTTCTCCTCAAAAAGCTGGCTATCTAATCATGGGAGAGGCAGACTTGAAACTTAGTTACATTACACCCTGTTGTTTGCCTGGACCCTGCGAGTAGCAGCCACTACTGAGGAAGGAGCTGAAGGGCACTTGGTAATTTGAGTACTACTGGCATACCTAATACATACCTCAGAGATGTTACAGGTTGGGTTCCAGAACATCACAATAAAGCAGATATCACAATGAAGCAAGTCAGATGAAGATTTTTGGTTTCCCAGTATATATAAAAGTTATGCTTATACCATATCTTATTGAATGTGCAATAGCATTCTTTAAAATATATATATATATATATCCCGGGTGTGTGTGTGTGTGTGTGTGTGTGTGTATAAAATACTAACCATCAGGGATCCCTGGGTGGCGCAGCGGTTTGGCGCCTGCCTTTGGCCCAGGGCGCGATCCTGGAGACCTGGGATCGAATCCCACGTCGGGCTCCCAGTGCATGGAGCCTGCTTCTCCCTCTGCCTGTGTCTCTGCCTCTCTCTCTCTCTCTGTATGACTATCGTAAATAAAAAAAAAAAAAAAATACTAACCATCATCTGAATTTTCAGTGAGTGGTAATTACTGATCATAAATCACCATAACAAATATAATAATGATAATAATAATGAAAAAGTTTGAAGTAAGGTGAGAATTACCAAAATGTGACACAGAGACACAAATGGTGCCAATAGATTTGCCCAACATAGGATTGCTACAACCTTCAATTTGTTTTTTTAAAAAAAAAATCTGCAGAGGGCAAGAAAATGGGGTATGCCTCTAGTGAGAAAAATCAGAGTAGGGAGGATTTGTATCAAAGTGGATCTTCCAACTTGGGCTATCTTCAATATTTTTATTACTTAAAAGTCCATAAAAGCCAAAGTAGGCTTAAGTATTTTAGCAACAATATGTCAAGTCTAAATGGAGAAAGTAATAGGATCTCACTGAGTTCTTTGGAAAGTAGCATTAGTGTAATGGAAAGAACAGGCCTTGGAGGAAGGCAGATCTGACTTTGCATCCACACCTATTAGCCTCATGACTTTGAGCAAGTTATTTCACTCTGAGTTTTGCTTTCCTTATCTACAAAATGGGTGATAACACCTATCTCATGTGACTGTTGGGAGAATAATAGAAAATAATGTCTATAAGAACCAAACAGGGTCATGCTTGTAAATCCCAGCCTGTATTAGGACTCAGTAATGTTAATTCCCTTTCCTAATAATATATTTATTCAGATATTTTAGGGAAAAACTATGCTATTTTATAGTTGACTATGTAACTATTTGAGATTTCAAGGTTATATTTGACTTACTCTAACCAAATCAAAGAAAAACAACAATGAACAGAACCATCTGTCTGAGCCACTTGAACTAGTGAAAAACTGAGTGGTATGTGTTTGATAATGCTCTTGCTGGAGAAGTTTTACACACCTGTGTTGGAGATTGGGAAAATTGCTCTGAAGGAGTACTGTTGGCCAGTGAAGCAGGAAACTGAATAAATAGGTAGTTTCTAGGCTTACTCTAGGAGAAATCAAAAGCATATGCTTTCTTCATTGCTATTTCTTGAAACTTCCTTATGATTTAAACCTTGATGCCCATTTTGTGCCAGATCTTACTCTTATTCAACAGGAAGTGGATGCTTTGGAAGAACTAAGCAGGCAGCTTTTTCTGGAAACAGCTGATCTATATGCTACCAAGGTACAGGTTAAGGAAATGGAAGTGCTGTTTTTACCAGTATGATTGAAAAGAGAACAAGATTTAGATTTAGTATCCTCTATGGCCAAGCTGTGCAAGAGAGACCTCATAGCTCTAGTATCAGCCATGAAGCATTAGGAGTCAGCATTCTTCATGACATTGCTCCTACCCGTAGCAAAATTCTTACTGGAACACTCTCAATAATAGAAATTAGTGGGGTAGTCAAAAGAGGTTTTTCACCATCAGAAGGTGGCACACACTACTTCTACTGATTCAGGGTCAATATGATAACTCTTCTGATTGCTTTTTATTCCCTTATAAATTAGTAATATCGTAAGAGCAGTGCCATGATCTAGCCATGTTTTAAAGGATCCAGATCAAGGGGCACCTGGGTGGCTCAGTCAATTGAATGTCTGACTCTTAGTTTTGGCTCAAGTTATGATCTCAGGGTCATGAGAATGAGCCCCTCATTAGGCTCACACGGGGTGTAGTGCCTGCTCAAGATTCTGTCTCTCTTATCTCTCTCTCCCCCTTTCTCTCTCCCTCTCTCCCTCTGCCCCTCCCCCTGCACCCTCTCAGCTCTCTTTCTCTTAAAAAGAAAGGAAGGGAAGGGAGGAAGGAAGGATCCAGAGCAAGAAGTGACCTAATTGTAAGAAGTAACTTTACTATTTACAACTGAAATACAATTTAAATAAGCAAAATCTAGGGGGATCCCTGGGTGGCTCAGCGGTTTGGTGCCTGCCTTTGGCCCAGGGCGCGATCCTGGAGTCCCGGGATCGAGTCCCGCGTCGGGCTCTTGGTGTGGAGCCTGCTTCTCCGTCCTCCTGTGTCTCTGCCTCTCTCTTTCTCTCTCTACATCTATCATGAATAAATAAATAAATAAATATTTTAAATAAATAAATAAATAAATAAATAAATAAATAAATAAATAAGGAAAATCTATTAGTTAAGTTCGTTTGAACTATTTTTATACTTTTCAAGGATCACTTCATAGGAATAGCCATATAAGATAGAAGTTAACATGGGCCTTGAAGACAGACCTGAGCCTAAATTCCCCAACTCACTGGCTGTGTGACCTTGGGCAAATTATCTAATCCCTGTAAGCCTCAGTTTTCTCATGTGTAAAATTAAGATAATAGAACATATAAGAGTTGTTATAAAAATTAAAGTAGATAATGTATGTAAGGGGTTTATCTTAGCATCAGGCATAAAGTAAGCATCAAGTAATAAATATTGCCCACTAGTATTATTTTAATATTAATATCACCTGTGGGTTTTTCACCCTGGCAAAACTGATTTCATAGAGGCAAGAATGTTTTGGTTGAGTATTAGTTTACATTTTGCTGAGACTAACCATGTTTTGTTGTTTGTTTTCTCTCAGGAGAGAATAGAATATTCCAAAACTTTCAAGGGGAAATACTTTAATTTTCTGGGTTACTTTTTCTCTATTTACTGTGTTTGGAAAATTTTCATGGTAAGTATATTTGTTTTAACTGTCAGGGTTTAGGTTATTTTCCCTGGTAATGACAGAAAGAAAAGTGAGTTTGACTGAGGCACAGAACTGAATACCAAATTTAGTTGAGTCAACAGAGAATGCTGCCTATCACATGGCTGAGCCTAACTCCTACCCCTCTCTTTTTTAGATCACCTAGAGGTTGCATTTTCCTTCAGTCAGATATCATTAATAAGGCCATAGCTTATAAATTATATGAAGGGAATACGAAAGTTTCTTATACTTTGCTTTCCCTATTACCCTTGAATATAGCTATGTGACATAATCCCTACCTTCAGCTCAGAACAGAAACCACCTCTCCTTTTTAATCACGTGTATATATCTTAAAAACTTCAATCCATGGGGCAGCCCGGGTGGCTCAGTGGTTTAGCGCCACCTTCAGCCCAGGGCCTGATCTTGGAGACCCGGGATTGAGTCCCACGTCAGGCTCCCTGCATGGAGCCTGCTTCTCCCTCTGCCTGTGTCTCTGCTTCCCTGTCTCTCCTGTGTGTCTCTCATGAATAAATAAATAAAATATTTTTTTAAAAAAGTTCAATCCAAAGTAAATTGTATAACTAAAACATTTCTAGAGATAAATTCATCTTATGTGCTTTTAGCTCTTATTCTTTCGTGGCTCTCTCTTAACGTTCTATTCTTTATGTGCATTTTATGTACATTCTTGTGACTCATCTGTAGATATTCATGGATTTCAGTGTGATTACAGAAAAGGCTGAACTTTCTGGTTCTGTGACTTCCCTACTAGAGCTGTGTTTGCACAAAGAGGAGCTTTGTCAGCTTGTTAATTTTGATCGATAGAGATAAATGGAAAATTCTGGATTTTAATGGATCTAACATTATAATAAATTGATGTCAATACCTATTCAGAGAACATTGTTAAATTTTGATTCATTCAAGTTGAAGATGATAAGTGAAGATCATATATGTTCAATGAGCTAAGCTACTAAAAAGTTTTTCTTGAACTATATAGCCTTAAGGGGAACATATCATTTTATAACAGCTTTATTGAGGTATAATTGACATTCAGTAAACTGCACATATTTAAAAGGTATAGTTGGGTAAGTTTTGACAGAAGTATACATCTGTTGCAACAGCTATCACCACATTTAAGATAGAGAACATCATCCATCCATCACTTCCAAAAGCCTTGTAACATATCTCATGCAACCCCACTCAACCACCAATCTGTTGTCATTATACTTTAGTTTATATTTTCTAGAATTTTATATAAATGAAATCTTAAAGTAGGTATCCTTTGTCTGGAAGTTTCTACTCAGCATAATTATTTTATGTTTCATTTATGTTATTATGTGATCCTCATTGCTGAGTAGTATTCCGTTGTATGATTATGCCACAGTTTATCTATTCACCTGCCAATGGGTATTTGTTTCTGCTTTGAAGATATTATAAATAAAGCTGCTATGAACATTTGTGTACAAGTTTATATGCGGACATATGCTGTCTTTCCCCTTGAGAGAAAACACTTAGGTGTAGCATGGCTAGGTCACATGACAGATGGATGTTAAACTTTTGAAGAAATGGCCAAACTTTTCCAAAGAGACTGTACATTTTACATCTCCACCTGCATTGTTTCAGTATTTGATTTACTCCACATCCTTGCTGACATTTTATAGTCAGTCTTGTAAATTATAGACATTTTAGTAGGTATGAGGTGGTATTGATTAATTTGCATTTTTCTAATGCCTAATGGTGCTAAACAACTTTTCATGTGCTAATTTGCCACCTGTATATTTTTTAGGAGGAGGATAGATCTATTCAAATTTATTGCCCAATTTTTAAATTAGGTTTTATTGTGTTTTGCAAGTTTTTCACTATATTCTGGAAACCTTTTATCAAATATGTGATTTTCAAATATTCTCTCTCAGTCACTGGCTTAGCTTGTCATTCTCTGCACAGTGTCTTTCCAAGAATTGAAGTTATTAATTTTGATGAAGTCTAGTTTATCTTTTTTTTTCTTTTTTTATCTTTTGTTTTCTATTATGGGTTATGCTTTTGGTGTTGTACCTAAGAAATCTTTGCCCAACCTGACTTCATAAAGACTTTTCTCATGTTTTATTCTACGAATTTTATATTTTGAGATTTTTACATTTAGGTACATGATACATCTGGAGTTTATTTTCTCAGACGATGTTGGAATGTGGATCCAAAGGATGCCTGGGTGGCTCAATGGTTAAAGGTCTGCCTTTGGCTCAGGGTGTGATCCCGGGGTCCTGGGATTGAGTTTTGCATCAGGCTCCCTCTGCCTATTGCCTATGTCTCTGCTTCTCTCTCTGTGTCTCTCATGAATAAATAAATCAATCTTTTTAAAAAGGGGACGGGGGGGGGGTGGGGGGCAGCCCCGGTAGCGCAGCGGTTTAGCGCCGCCTGCAGCCCGGGGTGTGATCCTGGAGTCCTGGGATTGAGTCCCACGTCGGGCTCCCTGCATGGAGCCTGTTTCTTTATCCCTCTGCCTGTGTCTCTGCCTCTCTCTCTCTGTGTCTGTCATGAATAAATAAATAAAATCTTAAAAAAAAAAAAGATCAGTTTGATCTTGAAGCTTATTTTAAAAATAATAAAATTAAATTAAAAAATTAGAAATTGGGCAGCCCCCGTGGCGCAGCGGTTTGGCACCGCCTGCAGCCCGGGGTTTGATCCTGGGGACCCTGGATAGAGTTCCACCTCAGGCTCCCTGCGTGGAGCCTGCTTCTCCCTCTGCCTGTGCCTCTGCCCCTCCCTCTGTGTGTCTCTATGAATGGATAAATAAAATCTTTAAAAAAATAAAAATAAAAAAATTAATTAATTAAAAATTTAAAAAAAGGGATGTGGATCCAAGTTCATTTTCTTCATATAGATATCCACTTGTTCTAGCACCATTTGTTGAAAAGATTATCCTTTCTCCATCGAATTGACTTTACAGTTTTGTTAAAAACTAATTGACTATATATGGACAGATCTGTGTCTGTACTCTGTTCTTTCCTATTGATACATATGTCTGCCTTTATTTATGCCAGTACCACTCTGGCTTAATCACTGTAGCTTTATAATAAGTCTTGAAATCAAATTGTTTAAGTACTCTAATTTTGTTCTCTTTTTTAAACTCATTTTGGCCATTCTGTGTCCTTTGCATTTCCATATGAATTTTAGAACCAGATTTTTAATGCTGCTGAATACAAAAATACCTGCTGAAGTATGTACTAGAAAGTCACTAAATCTTCAGATCAATTTGGAGAGAAGTGACAATCCTAATATTGAGTCTTCTAATTGATAAACAGTGTAACTTCATTTATTTAGATCTTATTTAGTTTCACTCAGCAATGTTTAGTTTTTAGTGTATAGATCTTTTACATCAACTTTATCTCAAGTATTTAATATTTTGATGCTATTATTTATAATAATATAATTAAAATTATAGTTTGTATTTTTATGATTTCAGTTTCTTAGTGTTACTAGTATATAGATATACAATTGATTCTTGTCTGTTGATCTTCTATTCCACAACCTTGCTAAATCCCCTTATTCTAAATGCTTTTTATAGATTTCATTGGATTTTTTATACATAGACAATCAGATCTCTGAAAATAAAGACAGTTTTGCTTCTTTGTTTCCTATCTGCATGCCTTTTATTCCTTTCCTTCTTTTCCCTTCCCTTTGTATCCTATATCCCATCTTTCTTCCTTCTCCTCTGGCCTTATTGCACTGACCAAAACCTCCTGTAAAAAATTAAACAAAAGTGTTAAGAGCAGTCATCCTGATCTTGTTAAATACAGGGTTAGATACGTACCCTTTATCAGGTTGAGGAAGTTACTTCTACTTATAGTTTATTGAGTGTTTTTAATCATGAAAGCGTGTTTGCTTTGGACGGTGCTCTTTCTGCATCTATTAAGAGGATCATATGACTTTTTAGTCAACTAATATAGTGAATTACATTGATTAATTCTTTAATATTAAACTGGCCTTGAATTCCTGTAATAAACCTTACTTGACCATGGTGTATATTGTTGTTTAATTTGCTGACATTTTCTTAAGAATTTTTGCATCAATGTTTATGAGGAATATTGGAATGAGGTTTTCTTTTCTTTTTTTAAGATTTTATTTATTTATTCATGACACACACACACACACACACACACACACACACACACACACACAGAGGCAGAGACACAGGCAGAGGAGAAGCAGGCTCCATCAGGAGCCTGACATGGGACTCAATCCCAGGTCTCCAGGATCACACCCCAGGCTGAAGGCGGTGCTAAACTGCTGGGCCACCAGGGCTGCCCTGGAGTATGGTTTTCTTGTAATGTCTTTGGCTCTGGTGTCAGAGCAATGCTAATCTTAAAGGTCAAGAAGAATTCCTTCTTCCAATATGTGGAAGAGTTTATGTGGAATTATAATTTCTTTCTTAAATGCTTGGTGGAATTCACCAGTGAAGGCATCTGAATCTAGAGTCATCTTTGCAGGAAAATCATTTAACTACAGATTTAATTTCTTTAATAGATAATAAGGTTTATTCATGTTATTTGTTTCTTGAGTGAGCCTTTGTAGTTTCTGTCTTTTTGAAAGAATTTGTCCATTTTTATTGGAGTTGTCAGTTTTATTAGCATACGATTGTTCTTAATATTCCCTTATTATCCTTTTAATATCTGTAAAATCTGTAGTAGTATTATCCCTCTCCTCTTTTTATATAACAACTTTATTGAGATATTCACAACAAAGCAATTCACCTGAAAAGTAATTCCCATTAGCAGTCATTCCTTATTTCTCCTCCAGCTTTAGACAGGCACTGATCTATTCTGTCTCAATAGATTTCCTATTCTGGACATTTCATGTACCTTGAATCATACAGTATGTGATCTTTTGTGATTGGCTTCTTAGTAAATGTTTTTAAGGTTCGTCTATATTGTAGCCTCTATCAATACTTCATTTCTTTTTCTGGATAAATAATATTCATTCCATTATATAGATAT